AATCCGATATCCAATATGTGAAATAAACACATTTGATACTTCTTTGCACACAGTGCAAATACAAATCGAAAAATATCACGTGTCATTGCGCGAGTGTGCAACTTAAAAATGAAACGTTTCGGTACCGTATTTTTTTTTTTTTTTTTTTTTTGAACCGTCCTTAAGGCCCCAAAGTTCTATACCGCCGCAGGATAATATCCTAATTACATACTTTTATATATTTACCACAAATTCGCTATCCTTCCCTTCGATTCAAAGAGCCATAAAAAGAAAAGAGAAATGAAAACGTTCTTAAAAATTTCACGTCGCGATCGATAATCGTTGGCAACCATTCGTCAAAGAGAAAAGAATCCGTGTTACCTTAAATTGTAATCTAAACATGACGTGCGATTAGGATATATTAAAAAGGCAAGTACAATTATAATTACAATCGTTACATTCTCACACAACTTCAAGAGTTTATATCTAAATTTTAAAATTAATAGTTACAGTGCTTAATTATATCCAACACAAAGGGACATGCGGAAAGTCACTTAAAACTAGAGTGATCCACTTAATTCTTGGTCTAATTTCTTTGCATCACTATCGCTTTTTCGTATCTCTTTTTTCATCGTCTCACTCCTGAAATCTGTATATTAGCAGTATTGGCATAATTCAGATTTAATCGACGATGGAATACGTTTAGTTTTCAGCAAATATATATCCACGATGAATATATAATTATTAATAATAGCGTGGTTCGTATGTAATCTATAATCATCTATGGCAAGAATCGGCCCACTATAAGACATGCATTATATTTGTGTTACATTCATACGTTTACGAGGTGAATTTAATGACTGTAAAAAAGAAATCGACGATTGCGTAGAATAGTAATCTAAAATTAAAAAATTATTACTATTATTATTATTATTATTATATAAGTAAAATTAAAAAAGAATTACAAATTTCTTTTACAAGTTATATTCTTCCGTACAAATTTTCCGATTGAAGCAAGCAGTACAAATCAGTTCCTTGACTTGTAAAGTGCGATTACAATTGTTGTTTACAATATTCAAGCAAAAAAAATTGATATAGAACAAATCAGATATCTTTGAATCGTGTTTCGCAAAAATAACAATCGCAATTCCGTCTATGTAAATATGGAGTCGAGATATGAATTCTGAAGTATCGAGTTTTATATCATTCTATACACATGATTCTCTAACGTTTTAACGATTACATTTGCGCTACATTTCCGAAGTCTGCGACAGCGGCAATAATAGGGTAATAATACTGGCAAATCGTATGGCGGCTTTAAGCAGACTTTATCCGTAAATAGTGAATATTTTCGCGTTCACCTAAATACGCGCGTATATACTACAATATTATATAATTATTCGAAATCTACAATATTTCATAATCGTTCGTCAGCGATGCTGTCAATGCTGTCACTTGACAATGTTTTTTTTAGCTACGGATGCACTTGTCAAATAATTTTTACATATTCCCGATTTTTTTTTTTTTTTTCTTTTGATTATTCAATAAAACGACGATCATACGTAACATTTTTGTTCGCGGCAATCGTATTCCTTACGTTACTAGAATAATATTGACTTACTAAATTGTTGAACAGTTACTTTTGGATTCCTGAATGAACGTGCGGATAAAAATTCTTGTCTTTATCTAATATATTATATATATAGTACATTTTCCTATAGTGCAGTTGAAAAAGGATCAGTTCGCTACATGACAATGCTGCTATTTTGACTAAATACATTTCAGGTATATTTTCATAAATCACTTTCAGTTATAATTCCGCTGTTAATGAAAACATAAAATAAAGCATTTGCGACAAGTTGAAGGTGTACATACGAGATACTAAAAGTTCTACACGCACACATTTACACAATGCATTAAATAATTCTATTCATCACTAAATATACAATGTGTTCCACCAGAAACAGAACATAACATAAATAACGTAAATAAATTTGACATCATTAAATTCAACATTGTGAAAAAAAGCAAATAATAGGTTGTTCTTTAATGTTGAAATATTTAGTATAAATTATAAAATTGCTGTGTGTAGCCTAATGTTACAAGAGAGAGAAAGACGTTTCATTCAAAAGAGAAATAAAGGAATTCGGATGTTCCGTTTCCGAAAGACCATTCTGTAAAGAGTATTCTTACATCTGTATAAAATAAATAAACTTGAAAAAAAATAACATGACTATTATCAGCATAGAATAAAAGGAATGGATATTAAGTCAAATGCCGAGTTTACAATAGCTAACTTACTTAAATAATAACATGTTTATGTCAAATATTTTTTTACAACATATAACAACTCGCAAACACTTGTCCTCTAAATGAAATAAGCATCTTGTTTATAATGAAAATCCTAACTATGTAAAATTAATAACAATAAATCGGATAAATATTTTGTAAAAGAATATTCGACTGCGTAAATCGAGAAAATAATCCGCTTAATCAGAAATGATTGTAATAAATCATGTGTAAATCAAATTAAGATATTCTTTGATAATTACACCTCGACAGTAATTACGATCACTAATGCATTTGAACTTACAAATGTACGAATACCTATTTAAAACGGCCATTGCACTCTTGATCGTAAAAATCTATATCCAAAAATGAAACATTGAAATATTTATTAAAGGACAATCGCGAAATCGCTTACGTGATTCGAACGAATAACGTAAAAAATGACTATTACTACAGCCATGTGATACGAATGGCGATAAATAGTTACACGAAAGAGATTCTGGGAGTTGTGCGGGCTGCATCATGTAGAAATTAAACGCCGACAGAAATATGCAACACCTTTAAATCGATATTCTTATATATATATATATATATATATACTTTTATTATATATTATATATATATATATATATATATACGAGTAAGATGGAAATGATCTAAGTTAAAGATTCAATCGAAAATCTCTTAGATGCCTCCAAGGGGGTGGATCAGGGGGTGGAGGCAAAGGGACTGGTTACGGACGGCAATGGCCTCTCTTTCTACCACCTTCGTTACCATCTTCATCCTCGCCGCCCCTTCGCACTTCCGTATAACGTTCACCTTTTACACTTACGATTTTATTGTCGAGATATCGTACCAACTTCTTGGGTTCTGTTTTCGGCGCGACTGGGCGATGCTCGCGACAATCATCGTCTCTGTCGACGTAACTGTATCGCGCTATGATACGAGACTTCAATTCCTCATCGTTCAATCTTGCTTTATTACGACCATTGGGCTGAAACCAACAAATACCATGTATTTTTTTTTTTTTTATCAAATTGATCAAGCGATGTTACAGGATCTCACCGTTAAAAACGTAAGATTGCTCACGATACTTTGACCTGCCTCTTGACGGTGTAACGCGAGTTGCGCGGCCTTTGCTATATCACCCCCAGCCACGGCTAAACAATGCCTAGCTTCGGCAGGACTCGCCGCTGGAAACATCTCCTGCAGCAAAGCGACCTGATGCCAAGAGGATTCCTAAAACATAGAAATTATCAATATTCAAAAATGCTCAATGTTAATGCTCAATGTACGTTTTCGCTTGTGGCGTTTGACTTACTTCCGAAAAGTATTCCCCACTGGAATCGCTTCCGGCATCACTGGTTTCCGACAAATGGTGGACTCGCATTCTCTGCGCACCAGCCGGCAAGAGAGCAGCCAGACTAATGTGATTCAATGGATCGCTATGAGATTGGCAATTCTCATTCTCCTTACTTTCCTGTTTCAATTTACTTTCTACATCCAGCAACCATTTTGACACTGCCTCTTTTTCAATGGTGGAAAATTCGGGAAGGCAAGCAGATACCATCTCGCACAGACCGTCCACATCTAAATTCTCCTCTAACGCGCTCTCTTCTACCATACTCACTACATAACTGAGCACAATGTCGTCTATTAAACTAAAACAAAAAAAGGAATTACTGGCCCACAGTCACGAAAAATATCCAGATTTTTTTTTTTTTAGAAATCTATTCTTAGAAAATTGGAGTTCGATACGAGGAAGGATCCCTACCTTAGCTGAGCGGTGGGCACCTGCTTTCTAACGAAACTAAATAAGGCCTTCTTCACCAACTCCTCTTTCTCATCCATCGTGCGATTCATCCTGCAATCATCAAACTCGTTATAATTCCTGTCTTACGAAAAACGCTGAAAGAATTCGAGTATTTGCGACGTCCAGATTCGCGCCCACCGTTCCCATGAGAGCAAACCTGAGAGCGAACGCCGAAATATTTCCACGAAAAAAACGATCGTTCCCAAAGATTTCGCAGATTTCGGACTCGTTGAAATCGCGGACTAACGAGTGTCACGACGGTGTATTCCTCGACGCGCGTACGTGCGACAACGTCCAGTCATTGATCCTTTAATATAGGTTAAGAGAGACGAGAGGGCAGCAGGTCTCTGGTACGCGGCCCTCGCGCGCCCTTCCATGCGAGAGACTGCGACGTCTCTTCGAGGAAACGAGAGCGATCAAGCGATCGTTCGTGATTTGCTGCGAGGAATCGGTCGACGCGATGTAACGAAACGGGAGTATGCGGGACAGGTAGACGGGCCGGGAGGGAAAATTCACGGTTGCTCGCGGAACGGCGATCAACGACGTCGACGACGACAACGACGACACGGACAGCGCCGGTTCGTCCCGCGGGTAACAGAGCCGCTTTCACCCTCGGCGAGAGGAGTGTGACGCGCGTGACGCTCCGGTACGAACCTGATCCTGAGCCAGGTTACCTCGATCGGAATACACTCGGGCTCGCCAGTGACGCCAAATACCCGAGATAAATTTCGTATACAAACAACGCTCTCGTCGATTTGACAGTTAACAAGGGGAGGGGTGGACGCCTGGCGCGCCGTCTGGCGTGTCGCGTGTGAACTTGGCACTCTATTTACATCTGCATTGCACGTGCACACAGACATGTGACGTATGGATCTATATATGGTGTGTGTGTGTGTGTGTGTGTGTGTATGTATGTATGTATATATTTAGATAGAAATATACATGCATATACTTTGTGTGTGCGCGCGCACCACACACACAGACACACACACACACACACACACCACACATCCACCCCTCGCGTGTGTGTGTAAAAAAAAAAACATTGCCGACGGAAGTCTTAACTTGAGAATTTCATGCCAGCATTTCTTTTAATGTTGATTATCACAGATGTCATATTGATATCTTTGATACCAGCCATCAATGTATTAACAAACTCTTATATTTTATCTATGCACTTGAGATTTTTTGTACATACGCTTGGGAGTTTGGAGTTTGGTTTTTCAGAGCTATGTATTGTAATAGATGTTTATTTGTGAGACGAATGTTCATCACGCGTTACAATTTACATTTAATACATTCCAATGTATAACTTTACAATGCGCAATATCGGCGAGAGCTTACTCGACACATCCAATATATAAATAATTACAATTCGACAACGAATCGATACACGACACATTCTATCATTTTTATATAAAGATAAAATAAGTTACACAACACAATACTAGAGTCTAAAATTTGGACTTTTATAACGTAAAATCCAACGTATCCGCTGATAATTGAATATATGCTTCGATAAAACAGCGGACGTTGTATTATTAACTTTTATAAATGCACGATCTATGTCAGATGCTCGTATCATTTGTTCATATATATGAAGTTAATACAAGTAGAAGATTATTTAAATAAATAAAGTTGCGGAAAAAAGACGCGCTGGACTAGCGGAAATATCTTTAACGTATTGTACCTTCATCAAAGTTCTTCAAAGTCTACACATAATAAAATATTAATCTTCAGTTAGAGATCTGATTAACAGCGAGATTAAATAAAAAGGCAAATTTCTTCAAGTATTCTTAATATGTAGATTCCAAAAATAACAATCTCTTCGTTTTAGTACTTGATTCATATATTTCTACCGGTGAGTTATTTCAATTCCGGTTCGGTTTGTCGTCATTAAGAATGAATTCTTTCGCTTGAGAGTTTCAAGAAAACAGATGTTCTTACACTAATTTCCATTGAAATTTATAGTATAATCCGATCGTAAATTACATTATATAGATTAAAAGATCTTTCTATGTCTTACTATGCCGCCTTTTTTTCTCTCGAGGACTGTATCTCGTTCTGCTCGATTCCATTATCTTCGTTAGCGGAAGAATAATCGAGCTCTTTTTTATATCTTTATTACAATTCGATTCCGGTTCGTCAACAATCTCTTGCTGTTGTTCTAGAAAATCAGTAGGTACAAACTCCATTTGGTCTTCGTTATCATTTAAATCCGGCGGAGCTGGCAGTTCACAAAAATGTAGTCTCTCGTCTGCGTCGTTAACTTCCTCACCACCTGGATCATCCTCTTCATGCAAACTCATAAGTTCTCAAAGTCTGAGGAAGCCGTAACATCTTCATTATTCTCCGAGAATATCTCTGTCGGGCTAAGAGGTATATCTAAAGGCTCCAATTTTACAGTCGCGCACGGCGACGTCGGCGTGATCGGCCGTTGTAGACGTATTTTCGTGAAGGGTCTTGGCTCTATGGGTTCAGACTGTTGCCGCTTTTGCGCACGTTTAGGACTAGAAGACATAGACACTCTTGAGGGCGACGTTTTATTTTCTTTGGACTCTGCGGTGCCTCTAGGAACTACATGTTGAGACGACAATGGCTTCGTTTGAGGTATAAGTAGCGGTGACTTTGTGTTCTATAGATAAAGGAAATAAATTTTTTAAAAATTCAGCATTCATTCAGCATTAATGAATTTAATTATAATCAACTTACTTGAGATGAAGGACTCGGACCAGCCAGTCCTTTGACTTGCAACGCCTCGGCGGCGTTCAACAATTGTGGCAATTTATCGTGGGCAACGTTGACTTCTCCACGGTACATGAATTTAACCAACGCTTCTACTTCCCAGAATTTCAAGTCTTTCATTAAAATAATGGGATGTTGACATGGATTCTCTCGTAACAATTCCGCCAGGTAATCACTGCAAGAAGACAGGATCATCTTGTGACACTTCAAAGACCGTCCCTCGCAAGCCAAAGTCACATCGACGAACTGTTCCGTGTCCAGCAAGGATGGGAAACTATTTTGCATATTACTATGGTAACTGTTCCACCTCAGACAAACCTGAAACACATAGAAGAGCATGCAAAATTGATAAAATTCTGTATTAAAGTAATTTGCTGTTCTTGTAACAAATACAATGTTCATGAAAAATTTATATACTTCTGTAGGTTGTTGATGCACGACATTATGAGGTCCTTGATTAATTTGTCGCGATGGCATTTTGATAGTGGTAGGTGCAACTTGCTTCACTTTCAACGGAATAGTTTTTAATACAAGAGTCTTTGGTTGCCGTGGTTGCTGCTGCTGCTGCTGCTGTGGCTGCTGCTGAGGCAGCGGTGCTGGTGCGATATTACGGATATGAGGTCTCACTAAGGACTGTGTAGCGATCCTTATAGCTTTCGTGTTTGTATTGCCCTGAGACGTTGACTGTAAAACTACGACAAAAGATAAATAGATCATTAGCGATGTACATAAATTGAAAGAAAACTGAAAAAAGGGAAAAGAAGTATCTAAACGAATGAAAATTCCATTTTAAATTTTATAAATCTTCAATTGTGAATCTAATTGTTTCCTTTTAAAGTTTTCTGTTTAGATCGAAGAATTCTAATTAAAAGCTAATATTCTATTTTGAGCACTTAACTAATCGAATTTTTATTTATATACGCAGTTTCATAATTTGTCTAGTCTGTTTACCGTGATAACGTCTGCCGATCAGCCTGCCGCCGTGATGCACCCTGAGATGCCGGTGTAAATTCGTCGTGCCGCACTGACGGGGGTTCCGCGCCACCCCTGACGACGACCGCGCCGCAGATACGGCACTGGGCGCGCAGCGGATCGTTAGTGCAGAGGTCGAAGTGCGCCCAGACCGCGCTGGGATTCGCCATGGCGCGCAGGCTGCGCGCATGGGAGCGCACCCGGTGCGTGACGTTCCCGTGGCGGCTGGACGACGATGACGAGGATGACGACGGCGGCGGCGGCAGCAACGCCGTCGGCGGTGGCGGCGGCGTCGACGACGCGGGCGGCATGCTCGTCTCATCGAGATAGCAATCCTCCTCGTCCTCCGGTTCCTGCTTCATCGTGAGGCACTCCCTGATATCCGCCGTGGGGGTCGTCACGACGCTACCCTCTTCGCCGCGACGATCGGTATACCTCGGCGCGAGCTTCGCCGCTCTAAAACGCCGAACGAACGATCCATAAATCCAGAATTCTCTTCATTAATCGCCATCTATTTTTTCTCGTTTTTTTTTCCTTTTTTAATTTAAATGACCTAACTCTATAATCATCGCGAACGTGTAACGTTTTATCGTAAAAACTAGGTCGTTACATAGATACAGCTCTGCGCGGGTGCGTTATCGCCTAAACGACGATAATCGCCGCCGCTTTTTATAGGAATGCGCGATTCTCCGTCACGCGGCATTAAAATAGAGGCGACACACGCGCCAGACTCTCGATGGGGAGGAACGGCCGTCGAATCGGGATAATCGCGGATTTAACTAGCGAGTTTAATTTCTGTAGACTCCGAAAATTCCTACCGCTTTCTTAAAAGATTCAGTACGAGAGCAAAAAATTCGCCGTTATTTCCAGAAACGTAGCGAAAGTTCGATAGTTTCCCCGAAGAGACGCGAGACAAAAAAAATCGATGAATCGCTGACGTTTATCCGAGTTCTTTATTTAAGAGTACTAGGTATACTCTGTTCATCATTCCACTTGTGTTGGCCCGGATTCTAAGATTCGTGAGAATTATGGAAAAAAAAAAAATCTTGATAAATGCATCTACGTGTGCATCGTGAAAGGAAAGCGAAAGTATTTAATAAATTCGGTCGCTTGCACTCTTTTATAATGATGCACTCTGGAAAATTGTTATAGGTATTCAAATCAATAAACACTTTGACCAAAAAAACATATTATGCAGAGCATCCGATAATTGTTGTACACTTTTCATAGAAAAAGTTAAATAAAAAAGTCCTTTGTTATTTTTTTTGATAATTTATAAGAAAATACTTAATAATAATCTTCGATGAAATGACTTTTGTATCATTTCCGCTAGAAACGTGATATCAATATCGAATATTTCCATCAGCTTATGTTCGTTATGCTTTTGTAATTGAAATTCTCAATTTTTAAAAATTTGCTTAAAACGATTGGGAAACTTTATATCAAATTAAATTTACAATTAAACTTCTCGTGCTTTTCAAAACTAATACTTTTGAATTAATTAAATTTTATGATTTTGACGATTGTTTTCGTAACAATTTTATTCGGTACAATAAGGGCGCATCACTGGGGCAGAGTAGGGCAAGCGTCCGCGAATTTTTCGCCACGAGACTCGCTACGCCGCTGGGCTACTCCGCTGGGCTACACGCGCCATCTTCCCTATTGCTCTATCTCTTTTTTCTCTTTCCCTCCCTTTTACGCGCGTGTGCACGAGGTGGCATTTCGGCGCGGATTGCGTTCGGCAACCCGACTCGCCTCGCGTCCGTTCCTCGCGCATCGGCGAGAGGAAGCGCGTCCGTAAATATGCCTCTGTATCCCCCGTGCCTCGAGGAGCATCATCTCCACGTTGCCGTCCCATCCTCGCTCCCCTCCCGCTCCGCTGACTTCCCTCTCTCTGCGCGCGTTTCGCACCCACTCTCCGTCCCCCTCCCGCGTCACCCGCGGCCGTTCGCCGTTCCGTGAGAATCGGCGGTTATAAAACGGCGACTGTGACAAGTGCGCGCGACACACCGTGCCGCGGTTTGCCAACTGCTCCTGCTCGATTTCACTCAACACGCGACGCGCGAGTTTCTCTTCTATCCGATCCTTCCCTCTTTCGCGATCGCGCGATACCGCGAAAACGATTCCCGCGATCGCACGCGGCGCACTTTACTCCCGATCGATTCGCGAGAGCGTCGCGCTATCGCGCCGACTCTCTAATCTCACCTCTCGAAACGCACGTCTCTCCGCGTGGCGTGTTTTTCCGCGTCGAACAATCGAACGATCGCTCGTCAGCGAACAAAACGGAGCGATATCGTCAATAACCGCGAAGATCGACGGTTGGCACGCATCCGCGCGCGCACGTCTCTCTCTCTCTCTCTCTCTCTCTCCTCTCCTTCTTGCTCGTCCGACGTTTCCTTACGATATTTTATCCTCGTGAGATCACCAGGCGAAGATCGTCGGCCGCGCGCCACCCTCGCGACAGCGCCTATCCCCGGTTTATCACGCGTGCCGGGCCGCCGTCAACTCGAGATCGTTAGCGTCGTCGAAGAGCGCGATGCGAATTGGGTGGTGGCCGTGTCCAACCGTGCGCGCGCGCTACGCCGCACCGGGACGATTTTCTCCGAAGCCGAACCCGGGAGTGACTAAAATCGAAATCGGTGAACGAACAGGGGCGCGTCGGGGCGCGCATGTGCGACGGCGTCGCCGGTCGTCGACGCATATTATCCGTGCCGTCCTCTCGGTCCGTCCGCGCCGCTATCGCGTACGCGCGCGTGCGTGCGCCCGGCCCGGTCTCCGCTCTCTCTCTCTCCTTCTCGCCCGCGTGCCATCCTCCTCCCCTCTTCGTCGTCATCACCTCCCGCCGCACCGCCGCTTCCCTCCGTCCAGCGATTTTGCCACTCGGGATTACTACCCGATCCGACGACGTTCGACCCGAGCTTCGACGATGACGACGACGGAGGGCCAAGCGATCCCGGATCGCGTTGAAGAAATTCTGACACGTGCGCAGTAACGCGTACTCCCTACCACGTGGTTTTATGGGACAGTAGCGTAAACATTTTTGCGAAATGAATGGCCTGTCAGAGGAAAGAAATAAAAAAAGATGATATAACGTGGTTTTTATTGATTGAATAATATACAGTAATACTTATATAAGCGTTATTGATAAAATTATGAATTCTTTTTGCGTCCGCAGTCGCGATCCCGGGAAACATTTTTTTCACATTTAATTATACATACTTATAATTATGTATCATTATTTATAATTATGTATAATCATATATGAAAAATTATATTTATTACACGAATTCGCAAGGATGAAGAAAACCGTTGAGAAAATCTTAAAATACGATATCTTAAAAAGTAAATTATACAAATAATTATTAACAATAAAATATGTGCATTATAATATGCCAAAAAATTACATTAATATGAGGCCCAAGGTAGCATCGAATCTGAGTACGTGTCTGTCGACGCTATCTATAAATGTGAGTCGAACTCATTTGTGAAGACTCGCGTTACTGCGCACGCGCGAGAATTCCTACGGGAGATCTGGGATTCTGTCGTCGACACGCGCGAATTCCGATCGATCGGGGCACATTTTTGTCGACCGACTCCAATCGGCTCGTCCGCTCGCCACTTCCCACTTCCGCTTGTTCCCGTTGACCTCTCGCAGCTCTGCCGCGAATGTCGGAGTGGAAGATCAGCGAATTCTTTGCATACTCAAAAAAAAAAAAAAAAAGTCTCGAAAAGAGAAACGATGAAACTCGGCTTGCCTCTTATTCCCGTTGTAATCGAGTCTCGTTTACGTGTATGACAGAAGCGTAGAATGTGCGCGCGCGCAAAATGATGAATTCTCCGATGTCTCGGGAAGCGGAACGTCATGACGAATATAGTATTTTTGGAACTGAACGGTCCCGAACATAATTCACTTTGTCTCGATTAATTTCACAGGGACTGCGGACGATGCGGTGTAAATAAAATTCCTTAAAGCGTAAAAAAACAAAATCGCACGAAACTCGCAGAAATTATTATTAATATTATTGAACCTAATGAAAAGTCAAGATTTTTTTATTTGTCTAAGAAATAACATGCGTAACAAGTGTAATACGTCAACAATTTGCTTTTATAAATAAACATAGATTTTTGGTGCGATAGATTGTGCTTATCCGTGATAATTTTAACAAAGAAAAAGATTACGTTTTTCTAATGAATAAATGATGAATTAGCGTGTAAAAGATGCTTTAATAGATAAAATTTGATTTAATAAGATTTATCTTAAATTAATTTAATGAGGGATATCGAGAAAAAAGCGAAATACTCAGTAATGATTCATTATTTTTAATGTAATTTGTATAGTAGCATAGTATAATATTAATTAAATTAATTATATATATATTAAATATTAAATATTATTTTTTTTGTATGCACTGTGTAACCAAGTAACAATACAGACGAGACTAGTAGAAGATGACCTTCGTAGCACTACTCCTCTTTTACTCCTTGGCGCAAAATTAGGATTATTTGTCATTTTCTTACGTTGTAACATGAAAATTTTTCCATTACATTTACTTATCTATTTTCAAATGTATTTTTCATTCTCGAAGCACGACAGCGTTTCATCGAGTGATTGTAAAATTTAAGGGAAACCCCGCTCCGGCGCGACGTGCGCGCTTTGAATAATAAATTACACGAAAACATGATTAGCACAAAGGAGTAATACATGAAATAAAGCCTCAAAATATTATTGTTATTTCAAAGGCATAGGCAACAAGCTTGGAGATACGAAAATTATCGAGTACAAATGTCTCCGTGTTCATGCCAACTATGATTAAAACGCGCTTTTGAAAATATTATATACAAATGTGTCAAAAACAGCTCTTTGTCAATTTTATTGGCGGAAGCAGAAATATAATAAGATCTGCTAACAAAATATGATGGGAGATTAATTGCGAAGGAAGAAATGTCAGATTTTCCTCTTCAGGTCTCTTTCTTCTAAGTCTCAGATTATATTGGCAAGATCTATTGGCGGGATATAAGCTTAATGCGAACGCAGTTGATTAAGGATACATTGGATAAAATGTAAAATTGATATCTGAGTTCAAATTTCATCTCCATTAATCAAAAGTTTATCGATTTGCACACGAACTGGCACTTTAACTGACTGTAATTTTTCTATCTTTATCCGTGTCGCATGTCATCAATTTGCTTTTATTCAGCGAATAATCCCCCCGAAAAATAAGTTGCCAATGCCTTCCAAGTTTCTTAAAAATTGATCCTGTGACAATAATATATGTAAGATACGTAGAGATATTTCATTAAGGTAAGGCTGTAACCATAGCGTAGCTTTTCGAGACAAGTTCACAAAGATGTCGAGCTCTCGTTGTTCTGAACAAGACACGTTTATGACTTAAATAATTTTCGCGTATCAATGGCAGTTCGTTAAAAAAAAAAAGCTACAAAACACCTGTCGTTATGTACTTGTCACACTTGATCTAACATATCTATCGTATGGTATTGTTTTTACGGTTTTTGTATGTGTTACTTCTAAGTCGATAGCAATTTTCTCGCCTCTGTACGCGTAACCACGAGTCACCGTGCGATCGTAGCAAAATATCTATCTAGGTATCTTACGTCACAGAGTAAAAAGGAAAAAAGAATGTCAGATACCGACAATACAAAGGCACGACGGAATCCTAATGCCGCCGTGTTGTGAGAACGTGGTGGTTACCCGCGAGCCATTTTACCATACCGAAAACCGACTAGCTAGACTAAAAATGACGTACCAAGCTCGCGCTAGCAACGCTCGAGTATGTGCCGATATAACTTGGCTTCTTTTATTTTATTAGAAATTGACGTTGTGCAAAGTATCGATGTACGATGTATGCTAACGGAATAATCGTGGCGATGCGCGTTTATTTTGTATTCTAGCGTAATGGAAACACGCGATGACGGTTACACCACTATGTGGAACTTGACGACAATCAATCTCGTGACAGTCGACAATTCGCGCTCTGGGCAACAAGGAATAACACCAGTAATGTAATAATAATTATTGTAATATATGCAAAGTGTTTTGGAGCGTACTTATATACTCGCGAGGACAGATTGGGAATTCTTGTCCAATCGTATCAGTAACCGACACTTTTTCAAGAATCAGGTTTGTAAAACGGCGTTGTTACTTGTTGATGGTTACCAACATCGGAAAGGCCAATCGATGGATGTGTAAATAGCGCTTTATCGTCGAGGAGGCTGAGCAACGAGGTCGAAGAACAAATCGCACCTTTAAATAACGGCTGCTGGATAATGGCCGCATTGTGTTACGATGATCGCGATCATCGACCGAGTCTGTTCTGAGCCGTCAAACAATCAAGCGGCATATGCGAAGTACGACGGACAACAGCGAAAAGAAGGCTCCTCGCGTTGCAGAACTGCGTGACAATAGGACGCGTAGCATTATTATCAGTATCCCAAATTGTATGGCCCTGTGAAGCCAGTACAGTCTGTAAACAGATAGATAAGTGAATCAGTCATTTTAAGATTGACATGTAATTTTTCCATAAAAAAATGTATAAACAAATAAGTAAAATTGCTTAATTATTTTTTCTGATCAATATTTCTACTTATAACAGAGTAATGCGAAACAGAGCAGAATAAGAACATAAAAGAAAGAAAGCATATAAAAAAAAGATAAACGTTACAAATATAAATTCTAAATAAAAATATAAATTTAAATTTCAGAATTTTATTAAAGTGAGATAATTGACAAAGACTGATTGAAAGGTTTTTTTTTCTTATTGATCCCAATTTCCGATTTCAAAAAAGAGTTATATAATAAAACGACGAGATGTCTCTTACTTTGTGATGTATGAACGAGCAGCTGGCAGTGTGTCCGGACTCTCTTTCAGGATAAACTGTCGTATTCCCAGAATGTAATGCTCCAAGTACGATGGCCAGTCGATTTGCTTAACATCGAACATAAATGTTTCCCGGTCTTCCGGACTGAGTTGCTCACCCAGTCGTCGCACATTGTCGTCTCTGAAATTCCACTGTTTCGTGCTGAAGTACTCCAAGCACTTGGCGGCTTTGGAAAGTTTTGACTGTACGCGGACCATTATGGGTCGCGAGCCTTTGAGCCGAGCGAGAGTATCTAAGATGTACGCGGGTAATATATGTTGAAATGCCACGCACAAGTTGTTTATAATGGCGGAGTTATGACAACAACCGTCCGGATACCAGAGTGCATCCTTCATCGGATGTAGCCGACAATATTTGAACGAGAGATCGACGAACTGCTTCCAGGTTATAGGATTTTGTTGGCCGGTGCAACAGTTGTAAATCGGAATGCTGTCGGTGCGTTGCGTAGCGGTCCTCCATGCCGCGCAAATCATTAAGTTGATCACTATGTCGACGGGCACGAGATCCGCTACCTTGTCCTCGTGGCATAGCATAGTTCTGCAAACGGGAAACGACCGTGACGATTTGTAAGAGAGACTCGTTCGCGCGAGGATTACGAGCGATTGCGATGAAAAAAAATAACACTACTATCGATACTTCAGCGTTTTATTTTAATTCTATTGTAATACCGATGTCGCAATCGCTAATTACGACTGTCCGTCATCGTTACCTGAAGAAGCCTTTCCCAACTGCGGCGATAATCCCCGTGGGGCCATTGCAATTGTCCACCCAACCGGCGACCGGTTCTCTATACGAAGACAGTACGATCGATGGCCTGACAATCGCCACCGGTAAAGAACCCTTTTCCCGCTGGAGCATACGCTCGGTCAACGCTTTTGTAAACGTGTATGTATTTGGTCGACTGGCGATCAGATTTGGCGTACAGTCTTCGAACATTTTGTCGTCCATCAATTCTGTCAGAGCGATCACTTGATCAGGTTCTCTTCCCACCGGGTAAATCTCCTCGGCGACGTCGTTCCGATCGCAATTGCAGTACGCCGTTGACACGTGAATGAACGCCTGCGATTAAAAATTTGTGTTTATATTGCATATTTTGCATCTATAAATTATGAAAAATATAAAATGCGAATGTCCATCTTTTGCCTTGGTGTCGATCGAACGTGCGTTTCCTAGTGACGATAATGCATAAAAAAACGTGTTGACGAGATAATTTTTAAACAAAAGTATATTGTAAAAAACACTTTAAAGAAAAATAAATATCACTGATGGTCCAAATCCTCGGCTCGCTGACTGTTATCAAATTAAAAGCTGTAAAATTTGTAAAAAATGATGAATTACGAATTGTAAATTTCTATTTTGACATAAAAATATGTATACATAAGATAAGAATTAAATATTCATTTCTTGGATTTAAAGCATCTTTTAAAATGACCACGATCGTTTTGTTCGCGCTAGTCCATGATTGATCTATGCTGTGTCATGAAAAAAAACAGGTGAACGGACAGGATTGTTAGACGATCGGTGAGTGATTTACGATAGAATCGCGCGATACATTTAGAGTGCAGAGTACAAATACACTCGGCTCTATTTACCTTTCGGAATTTGTAGAATCAAATCGAATTTCACTATTAAGCAGAAACTTGGACAGACTAGTTGCTGATTAATTAAAAATCGATGTCGTACATCACGAGCAAATGAAACGAAGTATTCGAAAGATTCTCGAGGATATATGCCTCGAGGATGTTATCTTTCAAGATGAGGTAGAGATGTAACCTTCCGTAGACAAAAGACACTGGAATCTTTCGCAAAAGAGCATATTCGTAAAAATGCGATGGACACTTTGTCTTTTATTTAGTCGATTTCGCTTACGACCGCAAACCAATCTCACTCTCGACGCGGCGATTCGATAATCCAAATTGATTAATTAAAAAGTGATTAAAAAGTTTGTCTCTTACCTCTACGTTGTGCATGCGATGGCATAACTGAACCAATCTTTTCGTGCCCAACATATTTATGGTGACCGACAGTTTCAAAGCCTCATCAAATTTGACAGTAGCCGCCGAATGAAAAATGACCGATACAGATTCTATTAACATATTTTGATCTTCTGTCGAGATGCCCAATTCTGGCTCCGTAATATCACCGGCCACGGGTATGATCTTGGAAAGCTCGCCAGGGGAATCCCGCCGTAATTTCTCAAACAGCTGCCGAAAGTAGTATAATTTTAATTTTCGGCGGTCAAAATCAGTGATGCCAGAAAAAAAAATGAGATTATTACCGGTACGTTTAAAAGTTCTTGCAATCTCTCTTGCACATTCTGACCCTTTTTAGGTCTCATTAAAAGGTAGATGTTTTTGATATCCGGACATGATCTCAATAACTTCTCGACGAGAACTTTGCCCATGAAGCCAGTAGCTCCGGTTATGAAAATCGACCTTTCTCTATAAAAATCCTTTACGGATGTGTACTCACTGCCAGCCATTGTGGACATGTTAAGGATTTATCAATGAGTCCTTTAAAAATATATCAAGAATTAGAGAAAATATACATAATAATATATAAAATTTATTAATTTGTTTAATTATTATAAGTTATTCAGGCGCAAGTTATTCGAGCTTCGCAATTATTTTATGAAGAAAAAATAAACACGACTTTTTCAACTCGAGTTCGCACGTTTCTGTTTTTATTTACATGTTTTTATACAAAATGAATATTAAATTTGAAATTCTAATGGAATAGAAATATAATTAAGTTTTTATTTTGTGAGGATAAAAAGATAATTTAATTCATAACATACCATACAACGTTTATAAACGCTTTTATCTTAAAAAAAAAAAAAAAAAAAAAAAAAAATTAATATCTATTGTGTTATAAATGCGCGCGCGCGCGCGCGTGTGTGTGTGTGTGTGTGTGTGTGTGTGAGAGAGAGATATTCGATTTTAATTTATATTCCAAATGTTATTTCTCGTTTTTATTAAAAAAAAATTATAGAAAAAAATATAATCCATGCATTACATTTTTCACATTATGTTTTTAATTATTGATTTTCTAATGAAAATCATATTTTTCATACATATCGATTTAAATTTTTTTAATTCATTATCTATTAATTTATTTATTATTCTGTGTACTAAAAATTAAGTCATTGAAAAGGATAGTCTGAATAATATCTAATAGAGAATATCTGTATACCAATGATTTTACTCTAATATCTTTAAGTACAGAATAATGACATAAAAACAGAAACATGTGAATATGCAATGCACAATTACATACTTTATTTATGTAATTATGTGTACAATAATGTTTATGTGATATTTATATTTATTTATTTGTACATCTTTTTCTACATACGTGTATGTATATTAAAACTCAAAAATTATTTCTCAAAATTGCTGTTTTAGAGAAATATTATTTAAATTATTATTATTGAATAAATTCGTGAAAAATACTTTTTAAATATCGTCCACAGAAAAATTTTTAAATCTGAAAATTAATGAAAAGAAAAAAGGTATCTACAAAATGTATCACGCTTTTAAAAAATATTAATATATTATTGTAAAATACTATAATATTACTATAATAATATTAATACTATAATAATATTAAAAAATCATAAAGAGTTAAAATATATATTTTTAAATTTTTTTATTAATTATATTCGCTTAGAAATATAGTAATATAGTAAAGTAATTTAAAAAAATGATTTGTTTTTTTTTATTTATTCTACAGCATATTTAAAGTTTCTTAAAAGATTCCTGTGTATTTTTTTATGTAAAAATAAAATAAATAATGATCCTGCAAGGAGATGAAACAAAGTGCAAAGTTATTAATTAATAAAAAAAATAATATTTAATTTATTTCAGAGATTCTAAATTTAACGTTTAAGAATAAAGAGAAATTAAGAAAATTTATGCGCAAAAATATAAGAAAACTTATTTCTTCATGTTTTTCCTCTACCTTTAGAAAAGAAATTCTTTAGCATTATCTCTTAATCTCGTCGCTCTAATGTATCCTCTTGGTTTTATCCCTTGTGATTTTATTTTATTCAGAATCTGACGAAGAAACTTTCCAAAAGAAAAAAATCATAGAATTCGCAGAATATAACAGAGAATTTAAAGGTTAATAAAACGCAAGAAATGATTATAAGAGGATACGGCTTTCTTATTTGTTTTCGGTTGTAACATTTAAAGCTTCTTAAATTCGAAAGGAGATATTTGTTTATTTTTCGTAAAAATAGAAATCGGACACGATTTCGAAGAGAAACACATAAATAAACACATAAATAAACACATAAATAATAAAAAACTAATTTAATAAAAATAAAAAACTGGTACGAAAGAATAATGTAAATATTTAAAGGTTAAATAAATTTTGAGTTTATGCATAAGAATATAAAAAAAAATTTATTTTTTCCTATTCTTGCTCTCTTTGAAAAAAAAAACTCTTTAGAATTGATAATTTGCTGTTTTGCACGACCCGAATGTTTTCTGAATTTTATCCTTCCTGCGCCCGGCTTTGAATTGCATGAAAAAAAAGACTCCGCAAGGATTCAACGAAAATACCCAAGTATTTTCGGTTTCTTTTTTATACCAACCAGTTTCAACGTACCAATTTTTTTATTCGTTTGATGATTCGCACAATCCTCTTCTACCAAGGATCACTTCTGCTGTTCGGCTCTTGAAAAACGACGGAGGTAAGACAGGAATGATCCCCAAAAATAAAGCTATAGCTCCTGAGAACGGCGCGACGTCCCCTTCTGACACACGTATATGTCGTACCGTGATTTTTCGAGCAGTTTGCAATTAAATCCAATGCTCGAAAAATCGTCGAATTCATGTCGCGTTCCTTATAAGTACGTAGCTTGTTCCTATTTACAAACAGAAATTCCTTATCAGATCGAGCAAAGAAAGAATAGAATCAGATTAATAATACGCGTACACGTCGAGCGTGAAATTAATTCAGACGTAAGTCGTAGGAAATTAGAGGAAGGCATTTGTATAATCTTTTTCTGATCATTGAATACTTAAAACTGACTACCTCCCCTCTCTGTCTCTCTCTCTCTGTATTACGAAAGAGAATCGGCGTTACGGGAAGATGATTAAAGAGCACTTTAGCACATTCTAGAAATTTCACTAGAATACGCCGGGTTTAGTCCAGCATAATCAACAATCTCGCAACAATGTGCACCTCGTCGCACCAGCTATCTTACTTTGTATTCATAATTTATTCATTAGACGTATATCATTTCCCTTTTTTTTTTCCTCCTCTTTGTCCGAGCAGAAGAACTCTCACGATTCGTATTTCCGTCCGAAAAGCGATTTTATATCATTAAAATATACATCCGATCGTGTTTTGCTCATCGTACACCCGCCGTCGGATGTACACGCGGCCGTTTCTAAAGCGCTGTAATAAGAGAGAATAGATAGGAGATCGATAATCGTCCGTCACGAAAGGGCGTACGAGAGAGTTTTGCCGGCCGATTTGCGGTGCGGTGCGGTGCGGTCTAACGTACCGTTAAGGGGGTTACGAGGGTATTCGGCTTTTGTGTGCCGCTTTTCGAGATAAGGCTGCCGCACGTTGCTCGTGAACGAAAATCACGACGTTGACGGAAATCACGTCGCCCGCCGCGGCCTTGAGACATCCCGTGGATGGAGTATTTATTCCCCCCCCCGGAGTGGGCGGGATAAATATTCGTTATCTCATCGGGCGGGTAATATCGATGTGACGCGTGACGTCGATGTTATCTTACGGTGTATAATATTGCTGTTTGCCGAGTAGTCGCACTTTTCCTCCCTCCTCTCCTCTCACCCGCCCGGGCGGGTATACCCTACGCCACGGCGACGGGGCGCGGAAGAGCGAGGGCTTCGACGCGAGTCGGCGAGAAGAAATTTTCACGACGACGATGCGAAAGACGACGAGGAACTCGGAAAGAACTGGCAGATAACGATCCGTGACGAGAGATCACGGTCAGAAGTACTGGACGCACGCTCCGCCACGATCCTCGATCGCTTCCCTCCGTGGTTTTCGACGTCGCGCGACATACGTGCGGATAATTACTGGCGATTCGCTGACGTGCGTGAGTTCACCAATGCGACTTGAATTTATATAATCGCCGCCAAGTTGTTGATCTGGCCGCGAGACCGCGACGGCGAGTTCCGCGAGATAATCGCGATTCGGAAACATCATGATCGTAATAAAAAAAAAAAAAAACGGAGCTTCATTTATTATTCAATTTGCGCGACATACATACGTCAAGCGAACGAATCTCGAAAGGTAAAACGCAACGGCGGAATTAACAAATTAAATTCATTGTTGCCCGAGAATAGCCCGAGTCCGGACGATTTTCTAAATCGTAGATAAGAAGATACGGCTATTTTTCCCAATCTTGCCAATCTAATAATTTTCAATTTTGTTATTTTGTTATTTTCGTATATATTAACTACTTATGCATACGCATAAAAAATGCGAGTTATTAGTTGTAATATTCCAACGTTTAGCAATAATAGAAAAAAGATTGCACGAAATCCTAAGAGCTAAAACTTGCATTTTTGTAAAGTAAAATTTTATTAAATTGAAATTAAGAATTTCAGCACGAAAGAAAATAACTATTCCTTAATATTCCGTTCGCAATAAGTTTAAAAAAAAAAAATATCACTCATCCGTAAACAGTACGTGGCATCAGATGGACACGACAAATTTTATCTCTCGTAATTAAAAAAACCGCACATTGAATGAAAGGCACAACATTATGAATATTTCTCAATAAAAATTTCTTAATGAAATAATGGTGACACCTTGAGCTTATAAAATTTATTTCCGAGATACAAATAAATAAAGCATTCAAGACATATCTTAGTTACTAAAGCTATATTTTAGCTCCGTTGGTTTTTTTTCTGTGTGTCAGGTCTTTATAAAAACTTATTATCAGATATTTTCGTGCCTGCTAATAAATTCCATCAAACTTTGCATATTGAAACAGGAAATTAAACGTAGTTCAAATCACGATACTGTTTTAATTTTAAGAAAATTCAATAGAGAATAGATTTTTTTATACTTATATTGTTCACACGATTAATTATTCATACAATCTCTACTTTATGGCATACATTTTTACTCGACAATCGACAATAGTGCGACAGCAGCGTTGATTGTCTCCTCAAAATTTCAAGCTCAAGTTTCTTGAAATTATGTCATACAAGAAGCCTTTAGATTCATCAGATTTGAAAATAAAACCTGACTTGAACATTTCTCCTAAGAATTTAAATAATTTACTAAAATCCATTAAATCATAACGAATTCAATGGTCTCCTCATTATATTTTAGAAAATTAATCAGAGAAAGTAAAATTTCGAGGCTGTAGCGATATCGATAACGATTTTTCGATTACAAATGTCACTTACACCGGTATTGGGAAATTGCGTGTATCATTGCTATATCACTTATATCAAACAGGATAATTATGTAATCGAGGCGAAACATAGTTTATACCGTTCAAAGCTCGTTCGCATTTCGCGGAGTTATTTAATTGCTCAATAATATTACAACTAAAAAGTGCTGTAGTAGTCTGAATTAACGTAAAACACGCTACGTTTCGCATGAGAAACGACGTCGATCTCTCTCAGTGGCCAGCAGCAAGCTTGCGAAAATCGCTGGTCAATAAAGTTTTACAACGGCACTCGGCCCGCTGGTTCTATCACCTGTGAAGAAATTGCTGGGCTTGTGTTTTTCTTCTCTACATGTGGGGGAAACATATAAATATTATTCTGATTTTTAACTGATGTATTTCAATCGCCAGAAAAAGGATATAAATGAAAACGAGAGATTACTAATAATCGTGTGAAAATGATGGAAAAAAAAAAAACGCCGCGTAATATCGGATAATAAAAAACGTACATTCATGTGATGTGATTCGCGATTGCGTAATAAAACGACGATTGGCATTGTTAATTGAAAATTTACATACAAAGTCATTAGCAAAAAAACTATTAACTCGACATTTAAAGTAAGTAAAGTTCAACGAATTTACGGTTACGATGAGCCAAATAGCTGAACCGATCCTCACCCGCCGATCCTCACTTTTCACCGTCGCCGATTTTTGCACCGTAAAAGCCGAGTCTCGCGTTTCGATCTGCGGCAGTGTAATATAGCGTGTATACGTGCCGCGGCATATAATACGTATACGTATGCATAAACGCGGTATAGACGGAAAACGGATGTGAGCGAAGGGGATTCTGGGTCACTGTCCTGACATCGAGGCGATGCGACCGAGAGAAACCGAGCGTCCGGACAGCGTTCCGTTACACGGAAACCCGTTATGCTTGGTGCGTAAGACGAGCGTGATTGCAACCATAGTCACGACTACAATCGCGACCGCGAAATCGATCGACCGTCCCGATTCGTCCCCATTTCTTTTCGGCGATCACTCTCTCCGCGGCATCCCCCCGCCTTCCCGATCGCCCGACGACGACGACGACGACGACGTCGTCACGCCCTCGTAACTCCGTCCTGCGCTCCGTAACTCGTATGCTTTTGATCCACCGAAAAGGGAAGGAAATTACGCGCGAAAAGGGAGTCGTCGATAAGCAAAGAGCCGTTTTGTCCATCCTGGTGCTTTAGTGAGCCTTCGCTGGCAGCTACAACGCGACGAGAAACTATGGCTTCCGCCAGGCTGTTTGCCATTAGGTGTTGCCGACTTTTTACACGTCTCACGCGGGAAGTTATCGTGTTATTTACTTTAGTCCGCGTTCTTTGATAACCGCGAGGTATATCGCGTATATGACGGCGATAACGGGACCGGAGTACGGGACAGGATTTCCGAGGAGTCCCAACACGGCGGTCGAATTTAACAGCGAGCGAGGCCTGCCGGCCTGCGAGGCTCGCCTCTCTCGGGCGCGAAGTGAACGCATAGAACGCGCGGGCAGACGGTGTAAAATGCAGTTGCACGATGACGGTTCGTATTTAATAACGGCCAATAGCACGGCTGGCATCCGGCTGCGTCTCGAAGTGTGTCAGCGGGGCAGCCGACTACCCAAACGCATTCGAGCGTAGCTAAGACGTGACTGGAAAGACATTCTTTCTATTTAGCGGACGTGGACGATTGGAAAAAACGATCGCGATCGAAATGTTAGCGTGCCGCAGGTGCAAATCGACTTTCTTTCAACTTTGTCGCCTGTCTTCGCGAAAGAAATCGCGTGCTTCCGCTCCCCTCACAAGGAAATAGAAAAATTTCCTTTCCTTTATTTTTATCCTTCTTCGCTTTTTTTTTTTCGTCTTTCATTCTAACTTTTATCTATTATTCTTCCTTTCCGCGCGATTACATTTCTGCGATATAGCGAATTATATTTACAAAATATGGAAATGTATACGAGTTTGCTTTTAAATGATAGGAATCTTCGCATAATAAAAACGCGTTTAGCATATATTTATAAATTTAATTGATGTATAGATATCATTATCTATATATATAGTTGCTACTATATATATATATATATATATATATATATATGTTTTATTTAACTTTATTTCACAGACGAAGTGGAAGGAACAAATTAAATACGATTACAAATTTAATTAATTAGATTAATTAGTCATATAGTTAATTTATAAGCGATGAGTCAAAAGCGTGATTCTCACACAGACGTGAAAAAAATTTACAAATAATATTAAAAATGCGACTTCCTTCTAGTCTAAATCGCGATAAACATAGCTATTCCACATTCCACACGTCCGTAACATAAAGAATCATGAGAAAATCTATCCATGACCCACGTTAAAGATGCGAGAGACTCTAGAGATAATCCTAAGGCTTAAAGAGATGCAAAACGGATGAGTGTGGTATGTAATCACTTTCATTTTTCTACTCGAGTATGTTAATAGCAGATCGTCGTGAGTATCACGTAAGGCATTATAAAAGTTTAATCGGTTTGATCTTGAATTTTAATTGAACTGCTATGATCCGAGCTGCGGATCCGTGAGGATCTCGCGATCGTGTCTCGTGCAGGAGGCACGCGGGATGGGAATTACACTTCCCGCCCGCCTGAGCGGGCTCTTTCGATAAATTCGATCAATTATTTCATCAACGATATATTAAGCGAACGTGAAGGGGATTACTCATCCGGTCTGCGGCACGATGATAGGCGGCACGTGTGCCCGGAGTGTACGACCACGTCAATAAAAACATCACTTATCGTCTTATCTTACACGTCGGTAAACTTCTGCTTTACACGTTTACACGCGACTCGCGCCACATCGGCGCGAATCGACTAATTGAAACGCTCGAAACGTCATTTATCGGCCCGCCCCGTTTTATCGAGGCTCACCATCTCGAGCGAGATTTTCGATCTTACCCGATGACCTCATGGCGCGGTTATCTCTTCGATTTCCTTGGGAACCACTTGAAGAAGCGATATCGAAGAAGAAAATGGAATAAGAGAGCGAGAAAAAAATTCGCGCACTACTTTCACGACGAAGAAGATAAGATGCGACAGATCAA